CGCTACCGCTGAGCCACATCTCCAGCCCAATAAAGTGTTTTTATTAGTACATGATAGTTATACACCCAACCCTTTTTATTTTTGAGTCAGAGTCTCACCAAGTTGCCCAGGCTGGCCTCCAGTGTTTGATCCTTCTCTCTTGACCTCCTGAGTAGTTGATGTTTTCCTTACATTTTATACTGACCCACATGGAAATTAAGCAGTTTAAGATGAAGGTGACAAGTAAGTAATCAGAGGGCAGCAGCCAGAGCCACCAGGCCTGTCAGTGTTGAGCTGTGACTGCCTGTTCACCAATCACTGCACACGCTCCTACTGCAAACCAAGAAGACCAAACCATTCCCTTTTATCAAAATCTTTTGAGGAGTTTTATTATTTCAGAAATAAAATATGAAGCAGATGTCATAACTGTCCTTAACACAAATATCTTTGCAAAGGGAATTCAAGAAATACCAAGTCTCTGAGATATTTCTCTAGTTTTAAGATATTCAGTCAGTAATTTAAAATACTGTGCTTGAGCAGGGCACTTCATGCATTCGTTATATACTGTGTTTTTTATTAAAGCACCTGCTGTAATCCTAGTGACTTGGGAAGCAGTCACCCCTATTTGCAGTTTTGCCTTCCTTAGTTTCAGTTACCCAAGGTCAATTGCAGTCGGAAAATATTAAGTGGGAAATTCCAGAAATAAACAACTCATATGCTTTAAATAATTTTTATTAATTGCATCATATTGTGACTGTTGTTTTATTCTTAATCTTACTGAAAATTAAACTTTATCACAGGTGTGTATGTTTAGAGTAAACCCTGTATAGAATTTAATATTATTCATGCTTTCAGGCATCCACCCAGTGTCTTGGGACATACCCCTAGGTTACCCGGGAACAACTGTGCGGTTTGCAGATGCTTGGCTTGAAGCTCACTGGCTTGAAGCTCAGTGCTGCCACCTGCCTGATAACCTTCAGGAAGTATTTGGTTTATTGAAGCTCTAAGACAAGAGGACAGCCTCCATTCATTGAATGAATGTGCATAAAGTGCCTTTTGAGGGGGCATGGCACCCAGCAGGATAGCAGAGTCCTCACGTAGCTTCTGTTCTAGCCAGATGTGGCTTTAACGGACCCTATGAGTCAGTACCAGTCACACACAAGCAGTTTTTAATAGTGCAAAAGGAAGTATATTATCTGGCAATGGAGAAGTTATTTTATTGTCCAGCATATCTTTTTTCTCATGGAAAGGGGAAAGTAAACCAAAATTCTCGAATGAAAAATTTATTCCCAGTTATAAGAGAACCATTGGAAGTATTTCTGATCCCTCTTACTTTATTTCCTATCCCATATTTTCTAGTTTTAAAATGTCATATCACATTTTAATTATTTTTATTTCAAAGGAAGTCAGTTAAGTCTTTTATTTGGCACAGTGCAGGCCACAAGTGTGTGGTAGGTTAGAACATCCCCTCCCCTTTTGAGTTTGACTTATTTCATGTAACATAATGGTCTGAAGTTCCATCCATTTTCCTGMAAATGACTTAATTGCATTTTTTCTTTATAGCTGAATAAAACACCATTATGTATTTATACCGTGTTTTTTCTTATCCATTCCTCCATACCAAAGAATGGTCTAACTAGAGTTCCATTCCTTGGGGCTGGAGATGGGGCTCAAGCGGTAGCATGCTCGCCTGGCATGCGTGCGGCCCAGGTTCGATCCTCAGCACCACATACAAACAAAGATATTGTGTCCGCGGAATACTAAAAAATAAATATTAAAAATTAAAAAAAAATAGAGTTCCATTCCTAGTCTATTGAGGAACCTTCAAGGATATTCTTGATTATCTTACAAGCATCATGAGTCAAACTGGTGGGTGAGGTTCTCCCTCTTCGTGTTGTTCCTGGTAACCCTCAGCAGCAATGCTCAGTGACTGCCCCAACTTTCTCCAGCCTGGGCCCTGTCAGAAATGTTGCCAGAAAAAGTTCCGTCCACACCAACATGGACAGACAGCCCCTGACTAGCCAGCTCAGTGCACTTTGACCTTTCACATGTGTTCTCTCTGCCTCCCCAGGTTTGGAAATGATGTGCAGCACTTCAAGGTGCTCCGGGACGGAGCTGGAAAGTATTTCCTCTGGGTGGTGAAATTCAATTCTTTGAATGAATTGGTAGATTACCACAGATCAACATCTGTGTCCAGAAACCAGCAGATATTCCTTCGAGACATAGAGCAGGTGCCACAGGTAAGCCTGAGCTCCCAGGAGAGAGCTTGGGATTATGTCTGGCAGGGAGGAATAGCTCCTTAAGCCAGCAGGTACCCTCCAGAGGGAGACTTCTGGGGCTTCTATCACATCATTCAGAACATCACCTCTAGTTTATGTTGAAGATCTGTAGTTTAAAATAAGATGGTTTTGCCTTTTTCAGGGGCACTTCTTTGAGGCAGTGTTGCTAGTATGCCACCTGCCTCTCTAGGGACACAATCCTTAACATACTTTTTAGATGTTGTACTTGAAAGCAGATTGTGAAGAAGGTCAGACCTGTCGGGGAGTGCAGTCCACACTCATTCCTACTCCTTATATCCCAGCCATAAGTTATGGCTAGTTTGACTTTCATTCAAACTCTCACCCTTTTAACCCTATAAAACCTTAAGGGTATTATAAGTGATAGGAATGAAAAGATTTTAAAGTCTACCAACAAAACCCAACTTTCCCCCCATCCTCAACCTCCCTATTGCTCCTATTTGATGATGTGACACTTTGGCTGCCCACAGTGAGATATGCCCCAATATTCTTTGAGCATTGGTGAAAGATTACCCTAAAAACCATTTAGGGAACCTAGGAAATGTAAGAATAAGCTGGGTGTGGTGGTAGATTCCTGCAATCCCAGTAATTTGGGACTGAGGCAGGAGGATTGCAAGTTCAAAGCCAACCTCAGCTTCTTAGGCCCTAAACAACTTAGAGAGACCCTGCCTCAAAATAAAAACATAAAAAGGGTTGGGGATGTGGCTCAGTGGCTAAGCGCCCCAGGGTTCAATCTCTGGTACCAAAAAAGAGGGGAAAAAAAAAGAAGAAAGAAAGAATAAATGAGGGAGGATGCACAGTGTAGCTACTTCAGGAAACATGAGAATTAGCGCATATTTATTCCCCCTTGTAAACGGTTGGGCTTACGGAGCTGTTAGCAGGATCAGGAATGGCGTGTGTGTTTCCCTGTTCCTCTTTTGCAGCAGCCAACATACGTCCAGGCCCTCTTTGACTTTGACCCCCAGGAGGACGGTGAGCTGGGCTTCCGCCGGGGAGACTTCATCCATGTCATGGATAACTCAGACCCCAACTGGTGGAAGGGGGCTTGCCACGGGCAGACCGGCATGTTTCCCCGCAATTATGTTACCCCTGTGAACCGGAACGTCTAAGAATCAAGAAGAGATTATTTAAAGAAATTGAAAACACAAAAGAAACATACCCACAAGCTGCCTGTAACAGCAGCCTGTGAGGGAGCTCAGAACACCTGGCTGGGTCACACTGGTGACCTTCTCACTTTGGTTGGAACTTTGGGGGGTGGGTGGGGTGTTGGATATCAAAATGCCAAAACTTACCTATTGAATTAAGAAGAGTTTTTATTACAGATTCTCACCGCTGCTCCTGTTTCCCTTCCTWTGTCCTTTTTCTCATCCTTTTTCTCTGTCCTTCGGTGCATGAATTTAAGGCCTCATATAGTCCCAGCTGATGCCAATAATAAAAGAAAAGAAATCAAGTGGGCTGTATTTTCTCTATGCAAAATGTCTGTCTTAGTGAAAATGACTGAAAGGAGAACAGTGAGTCTGTCCTCCATATGCACACACGGCAGGAGCTGCAGGGCAGCTGCCTCAGCTGGGTTTTCCCCCAGGTATTTCATCACATTGGAACTAGAGTCAGGAGGGAGGCATGCTGCCCGCCCTATGGCTTCCTGAGAAAGTCAGACTGCAAACCTGCGCCTCTCTCTCTTCGTTCCCAGTGTCATTGACGGTGTTGTTTCTTCATAGTGCCTTTTTCCTTATTTCAAGGGTTGCTTAGGCGTGGCGGCTTCTGTTTTGTTTTAAAATAAGTTAAAAACAGTCTAGAGCTTTTCAGCCAATTTGTCCCCTACTCTGTGTAAACAGTTTTTCTTCAGGAGAAGGGAAAGCGGGGTAGAGAAAGGAGACAGTACAACTGAAGGTGGGTGACCTGCCTGTACTGAGCCAGGAGTGTCTGCAGCTCAGCTTCAGTACTTATGAGGCCCTCGATGCTGGCCGTGAGCAGTGGAGCAGCTGCTGACCCCACAAGCCTGGTGCATCTGGCTGCAAGGGCGGCACAGTGCTTGACCTCCAGGTCTCAGGTGTGCTCTGCCCTCCTATCCCCAGAGTCTGCCAGGCACAAACTCCTGGAGCCAGCAGGTTGCAGATAAGGAAGGCAGAAAATGGCACCTAAGCCATTTTCAGTCTTCACAAGTCCAACCTTATTATGCCTATGCTGGGGTGAGAATTCAGAGTATTCACTTTTTGTTTTTCTTGCTCTTAAATTTAGGTCCAGGCTTTCACTTATGTGTCCCCTGACCTTCAAGGGGGTAGTGGCAGGAAGCAAGACTGGCTTTCATGTCTCTTTCACAGAGGATTGTGTTTGCACCTATTCCCAACACCCCATCCTTGGAAGCCGGAGGAGTTGAGGAAGGTGAAGTGGGAAAGACAGGAAGGCCAGGCCACTCAGAGCTCTGTCTACCTTCTGCTGACTCTCGGTCCYTCGTAGCAGTGTGCCTGCTAACTGCTTCTCTCCACACAGTCACCCTTCCCCTAACAAAAACAAGGTCACCTCTCTTTCTCTCCCTGGAAGTTGGCAGCCTTTGCCCTTTGTGTTCCTAGGGGTCAGTGGAATCTCCGCTGGACTCTGCTTGTGGAAATGGACTTGGCCTGGAGAGCCTTAAGGCCCAGGAGACGTTGACTCTTCTGGCCCAAGCAGTCCTCACCTCTCCTGGCTCCCTCTCCTTCTGCTCCTCCTTTCCCCACTTATGATAAGAGAACTCTCTGGCGTTCTACCCCTGGACCATTTGATTGTTTTATTTTGAAATTGGTGTATATCATGAAGCCTTGCTGAACTAAGTTTTGTGTGTATATATTTAAAAAAAAATCAGTGTTTAAATAAAAAAGACCTATGTACTTAATCCTTTAACTCTGCGGATAGCATTTGGTAGGTAGTGATTAACTGTGAATAATAAACATACAATGAATTCTTCACTCTGTATCTTTTTTCCCCCTGCTTTACTTAAAAACTTAAAACCATAAGGGGTTAGGTCAGGGAGTCAGGACTCTTGGATCCTCTCTCTTCAACTCACCTAGTTTACATTGCCCTTTGGGAGCAAGTGGGTCTCCAACCTGGCTGTTCTTCAGAATTGGGGCAGAGGGGCTCACTAATAATACAGGCTTGCAGACCCCACCCTCAGATCCTGGGACAGACATCTCGAGAGCACAAACAAGACAGCTTGATTTTTTTGTTATGTGCCAACAGCATTGATAAATATTATATGATAGTGATATCGATTAGTCTACTTATTACTCAAAACTAAAACTTTTAAAACGGGCAGTTTTATAAAGACTTGCTATGTCCTGCCTGAGAGAAAGCACCAAGAGTCTCTCAAGACTTGATTCTAGCCCATCCATAGGCAGCACTGATCTTGGGTTTCAACAGCCTTATTTTTTACTACTCCGGAATTAGAGTTTAGAAAGCATAATGGTGAGTGTGTTGTGCACACCCGAAGTCCCAACTCAGGAGGCTGAGGCAGAAGTATTACAAGTTCAAGACCAGTCAGGGAGAGTTAGCAAGACCTCATCTCAATAAAAAGGGCTGGGGATGTAGCTCAGTGGTAAAATATCACTGGGTTCAGTTCCCAGCACAAAATAGAAAAGCACAGCCCTTGCAGCTGCCCCTAAATGTGACTTGACGCTTCAACGATGTCTACCTCAGAATCAAAACTGCCAGGCCTTTGCCTTACTGCCTCTCACCATCCTGGGCTGTGCTAAGGAAGGAGAGGACCAGGAATGGCCTCTCCCTTACCTCCTTATGGGACTGTGGATGGCTCCTGATAGTAATTTTATTCCTGTGACATGCAGCATCTCTTCTGGCTCAGTAATTGGGAACATCTGCCAGTGAGAGGCCGAGGCGAGCCCTGAACACCCTTCCCAGACCAGCAGCCACCCCTCTCCACTCCTGCACAGTGGTCATCCCTGCTGGGTCATCCTGATATTAGAAGTGTTCCCACTTTGACCTTCCGTGTTTGGTTCAGAAGCATTCTTCAGTCCTGATTTTCATACTGACATGCAAGTTGTAGACTGAGCAAATTTCAGAGAAGAAGTGTGGACAGCTCACAACCCTAGGACAAGGACTTGGAGATAGATGGTGGGTCACATTAGCTTGACCTAGGTGTTAGGTGACATTCTTTGGATTTTTTTTTTTTTTTTTTTGGTACTGGATTGAACCCAAGGGCTCTGTACCATTGAACCACATCCTCAACCCTATTTTGTATTGTATTTAGAGAGACAGGGTCTCTCACTGAGTTGCTTAATGCCTATTTTTGCTGAGACTGTCTCAGCCTTCCAAACCACTGGGATTACAGGTGTGCGCACTGCGCACAGCTAGGTGGGCTTTGAAACTCCTGCCTCTGCTGGGATTAACAGGCACATATCACCATGCCTGGCTTCCCCCCACTCCATATAACAATAATTGAACCCAGGGGTGATTTGCCACTGAGCTACATCCCCTTTTATTTTTTGATACAGGATTTATACCAAGGCTGGCCTCCAATTTGGAATTCTCTTGCCTTGGCCTCCTGAGTTGTTGGGATTGTAAGCATGCATCACCACGCCTGACTATTTGGGCAGTCATTAATAGGACAGTAGGGCTGGGATTCAACTCAGTGGTAGAACATATGTTTACATGCACAGGGTGCTGGACCAATTCCCAGCACACACACGCGCACACACACACACACACACACACACACACAAAAGACGGTAGGCCTACAGGGCAGGTGGGATGGTGTGGACACAGTTCCTGGAGACAGCTCAGAAGGCACCTGAGCAGCCCTCTGCTGGGGTTTGTGAGGCCTTGAAAGCAGCTGCACAATGCTTACCCTCTTCTGTTCACTCCGAAGGCTTTCATTTGTCTTTTAAGGAGCACCATGGATCTCCTGACTTGCAGTAGTGCCCAGAACAGAACCTTGGAAAACCAAGAGGCCAAGTTCACATGAGCTTAGGAAGTAGGAAGCTGGGTGGAGCCTCCCAGTCACCCAGCTCGGCTTTCTCTCCTGGCCAGTCAACTGCACAGTATGCCCAGCCTCAGTGTGTGTATGCATAGGTGTGTGCTCGATGCTGGCATGTAGTATGTAAGCGACGTGTGGTTAGCCATGTGTACCAGGGATTGAACTTGGRTGCTTAACCACTGAGCCACATCCCCAGTCCTTTCTATATTTTACTGAGACAGGATCTCACTAAGTTTCTTAGGGCCCTGCCAAGTTTTGAGGCTGGCCTTGAATTTGTGACCCTCCTGCCTCAACCTCCCAAGCTGCTGGGATTACAGGCTTGCACCACTGCTCCCAGCCTGCACAGATTCCTTACTGTCCATATGCTGCCTCCTACCCTGGCTTCCCCAATGGACGGTAAGCCCTACAGGGCAGGAATTCAGGCACTGTGGCTTCCCTAGAATAAATAGTTCCTGAAACAGATGGGCTGCTCCACAGTATTTACCATCTGAGTTAAGAATCGTATGTCCCAGATACTACAAGGTCCATGGTGCCACGTTCCCAGTCTTATGTGCAGAGAAAGCCAAGCAATGACACCTGCCACGGGGCAGCAGCTCTTTCCTGCCAGAGGTCAAGGAAGACCGGGCGGACAGGAGTGATGACTGCAGACCTGGAGCGGTGCTCTGGAAGGAGTATATGCCAGGTGAGACGAGCACCCGCCCCAGAAAGGGCTGTGTGCAGAGAGGAAGAGACAAGGGGGCCCTAGAAGATGCTGGTGCACCAGGTAGAGGCCAGATCTAGTGGTCCTGGAAGCACAGGAAGGAGCTAGAAATGCACAGGCCCCTGAAACAAGTCCGTTCATTTGTTTGGGTTTGGTTTGGGGGTCTTTGTTTTGAGTTTGGTACTGGGGATTGAACCCAGGAGTGCTCTATCACTGAGCCACATCCCCAGCCTTTGTTATTTTTATTTCCAAACAGGGTCTCGCTAAATTGTTCCGGCTGTCAGCTTGCTATCCTTCTGCCTCAGCCTCTTGAGTCACTGGGATTACAGGCATGTGTCATCGTGCCTGGCCATTTCTTTGTTTTTAAGAGCAGCTTTAGACCTTGAAGAGTTTTTTTGTTTGTTTGTTTGTTTTAAATATTTTTTTAGTTGTTGATGGGCCTTTGTTTTGTTTATTTATTTATATGCGGTTCTGAGAATCAAACCCAGTGCCTCACACATGTGGGCAAGAGCTCTGCCACTGAGCCACAAACCCAGCCCTAGACCTTGAAGTTTTGCTTAAAGTTTCAAAGCTATTTGTTACTACCATAACATATTCCCAAATCCTTTTTGCATCTCCAAGTGAGCACTCTAAGGTTTATATTCAACCTGATAAAAGACAGATAGCCAGGTGCGGTGGTGCACACCTGTAATCCCAGCAACTCATGAGACACGAGAATCGGAGTTCAAAGCCAGCCTCAGCAATAGCGAGGCCCTACGCAGCTCAGTGAGACCTTGTCTCTAA